TGGGAGTAAGGGCGAACACTTTACCCACTAGGCTAACCCAGGTCCCTGGTAGAACACGCACCTTGTGTGCCCATCTGACAAGACTAAATTGGCACGCCTCGTACGACCGAAAACTATGAATACACCATGCCATTTAAAAAGTGGTCAAATGTAGCATATGCCATTTTTTTTTATTACACTTTCTTAGTGAAGTACAGCTTCGAGTTCATATTTAGGTTGAGGCTCAGAGTCAGGCACCTAATCGCCAGCACACAAGTGGAATTCTACTTCCTAAAACGACAGTGGTGTAAATCTATCTTATGTAGAAATTCACAAGATAATAAAAATAGCGGATTAAAGTCAGAATCGTTTTGAAATTAATATTAGTTTGAAATGACGTAGATAACTACCTTTCACTATGCTAACGGAATGATCACTATGCAACGAAGGGATTTTCAGTGTTCTACGATTGCAGAACTTTGGCAACACAGACAACCGAACCAGATTGATCCTAATCCAAAAAAGACCATTCCAAGATTACAGCCTTCAGGGCAGTCAGGTTGTGCCCATGGTTCACGTTGTCGACTTACTTGCTCTTGGCGATGAAATCACTTTACTCTGAAAGTTTCGGAGACATCAGTTCACTGACCGTGACGTCCCAAGTCGAGTGCCCGTCAACACTCTATGTGTAGACACTGTGAAATTGAGGATGTATCTTTTGTGTTACTAGCTTCTTGTGCCCCTGAAACTACCTCGTCAACATCTATACATCACTACAGATACTGTTACAGCAAGTGTTATGTCTTCTTTTATATCTACCACATTTACTTACGCTTACTTGCTGCTGCTATTTTAACTACAAAGTAGACACAACGTGCCCCAACTAAGCATGAACACAACACATACTTAACGTACACATTTATGAATGTTTAACACACCAAGTATATTTTCTGAATGCATCCTCTAGAATTTTTCAAAATGGAATGTGTCCCATGAGATAAAAAGCCAAACGGATAAGACCTTCAAGTATGGCACTTGCTAGAATGCCAAAAAGACGTGTAATAAAATTGCTCTTGCTTCTGCACGGAAGACTTCCAGACGTCAGACATTGCCTCTTCATCACGTTACAAAGCCAGATGTCTGTGGATGGTAATTGTGTCAGTCACAATCTCCCGGATACACACGTTATGATGTCGAGATGAAATTATATACATACTTAGTTGACGTCCAGTACAGGTTCTCTGCTGACAGCAGTATATGACATTAGACATTTTAATCTGACGAGCTTTAGTCTGAAGATTGGTTTAATAACGAGTTCGAAGGACATCTCATTTACACCTGGCACCAACGGATCGACTTTATGTCTGTGACGCTTGTTTACATGATAGCACTTCTCGGTGAATAGGTTCGGTCAGGTAGCCCAGTGGTGAAGTCGTTCGCTCGTTACGAGACCCGTATATTCCACAAGGGTGGTTTGAGTTTTACGCCGCATTTAGCAATATTCCAACAATATAACGGCCGGGGACACCAGAAATTGTATCACAGTTTTTGAAGCCCACTCATTCCGTTCCTTGCCGAGGATTAAGGTGGAATATTGCTGAAAATGGGTAAATTCATATGCACTCATTCTTGTCATAAAAACATGCACCGAAGCAGATCTCAGTATGTCCATTTTGGAAAATGCATTAATCCCTCAAGTGTCAGTCACAATCTCCCGGATACACACGTTATGATGTCGAGATGAAATTATATACATACTTAGTTGACGTCCAGTACAGGTTCTCTGCTGACAGCAGTATATGACATTAGACATTTTAATCTGACGAGCTTTAGTCTGAAGATTGGTTTAATAACGAGTTCGAAGGACATCTCATTTACACCTGGCACCAACGGATCGACTTTATGTCTGTGACGCTTGTTTACATGATAGCACTTCTCGGTGAATAGGTTCGGTCAGGTAGCCCAGTGGTGAAGTCGTTCGCTCGTTACGAGACCCGTATATTCCACAAGGGTGGTTTGAGTTTTACGCCGCATTTAGCAATATTCCAACAATATAACGGCCGGGGACACCAGAAATTGTATCACAGTTTTTGAAGCCCACTCATTCCGTTCCTTGCCGAGGATTAAGGTGGAATATTGCTGAAAATGGGTAAATTCATATGCACTCATTCTTGTCATAAAAACATGCACCGAAGCAGATCTCAGTATGTCCATTTTGGAAAATGCATTAATCCCTCAAGAGTTTTGGTCGGCAGTTAACCGAGTTCCCGAGTCTAGAGTTTTACATCAAACATTAACGATGAATGAAACCATCATATGCAGAATATTTTTCATAATTGGATGGACATATAGCATCCTGGAACATTGAAGATGATACTCTTGATTGTATTTTAAACGTCTGTCAACAGAAACCAAGAAGAGCAAAAACCATCAATGCAACCATCATATACTATTACAATAATGAAGTAGTTACGGGACAAGCTCCCCGTCATATCGTAATCCATCAAACTACATATATTTAGAGATCGTGACAATGTTATAGTAATTACACGTTTAGAGAACATGATACGGCTATGGTACACCCGAGTTGTGAACGTTCCAATCGTTAAAGGTATTCCTCTGTAAATAATGTCAATCATTGGAGACTGTGTGTGAACATCTGTTTAGAACTGCGTGGGTTTATCGCAAAACATGGCAAATATTCTCGGTTTGTCAATGAATCCCAGTATATCAAGTAAACAATAACTGTGCAGATATTTCAAAACATAATTTCCTGCAAGTCAAACTGTTTGTCATAACAGTTTTAATTCTGTTTCTGAATGACGTTTCATAAAAAGAAATAACATGTCCATCGTCCAATTTCTGTTTCTATTGATTTCCGTCCTGAAACATGAATTTATGTTTCGGTAAAAAATATTAAAAACATGTTTTTCGAGGAGTTTTGAAAGCAATACTATCATATCAAGTGTCCTGAACACCAGGCTATGCTTGCTAAGAACTGTCTTCAACAACAAACTATAACTATCGTAATTCTTTATACGCCAACAGCACATTATTCAAATCAAGAAATATTCAGTTGCCCTATTTGCTTAGTGCTTACAACCCAAAAATGTATAAGTTCCTTTTTCTCTGATTTAAATAAATATTGTTTTAATACTTGTTGGAAGAGTCTGTATATGTTGGATTGAGTACTAAAAGAGTTAAATAAGTGTCATGGTAACCACTCTGAGACATCTTGAATAGATACTGACGTACAAAAAGTGCAAAGCTGGTGCTTCCCAAAAACAACATGGTTGTAAATAATTTGAAAAGTGCTTGTGACACATTGTGTACATGTTGCCAAAACACCACAGATATCGTACACACGTGCAACGTTGCATGCATCCCACGTTCCTAGCCCAGCAAAGACGTTTTAGTCATTGACAGTTCATGGCATGCCCTGAAATGGTCCTGGTGCCCACAGCACGCAGTCGTCCCATCACTGTGTTCCTGCTGATGCCGGTTGCGCAAATGGAAAATGCGCAGGTGATAGTCATCTTACTGGGTGGTCAGTCTCGGTCTTCTTGTTCTGTGACTGTCAGATGTCTGGCCAGTCTGGCTGATGCGTCTCATTAGTCTGGTGATGGTCCGCCTTCTACAGTCAGGCGTTCTGACAATATGACTGTTCGAAGCACCCGATGGCGACATCGCAAAGGCTCGTTCACGCTCCGCTGCTGATAATTTCTTTCTTGCCTTTGATGGGTATACGACAAACAATTTCAACTGACAGTGTTTCATACTGCTGGCGCTTAACATACAGGTGCGAGTCAAGAAAATAACAATTTTTAATATATTCCAATGACAGCATTTGAAAGGCTATATGTGGTGTTCGGAAACATGTACGCAATGTCTGTGACTTGTAAGTCGCAGGGAGTACCAGTTTTCAAAACAATCCCAAACCAATAGATTTGTAGTTTCTTTTGTGCGTCAGTGAGCCACAAGTGTGATGGTGCAGTGCATACCGTAATGCGTTTTAAACATGAATGAAATATAGTTAAATGGATATGACAAAACAGCCAAAGTCATATCGTAATTCTCCTCCAATACCCAAATGCAAAGACATTAAATATATTGCATGACATACTAAACACAGACCACTATATATTAACATAGTTGTAACATGACATTCTGATTCAATACCTCTAGTCAAGCAGTATTGTAATCATTAGATCACAAGTAGATAATTAAAGTATAAGACAATAATGGTCAACTAAATGTGCCAAATTCTAAGATCAATATACATACAGATTAAATCATTAATATGTTTTCCTCTACAGCTTTTCAACAGTACCATAAAGATTTTTTATACCATATACCATATTGTACATATGTTTGTACAATAATATATGTTGTTTAAATAATGGTGTAATTTAGACACACAAATAAGTAATGAAGGGTATTTTCACAAGTAACGCCACAGACACACTACTGATGATATGGCATGAATCAGTGGGTTTTATGTGAATTTAAATCACTACAACCTCATCTGAATGTATTACTTGACAGAATCCATTTCTAAAATTGATATCAAACGCAAAGTTTATGCCCTAATTTCTAGGTGATCCTGTCTATAAAGCTACTTATGCATTGTATTGATGAAATTATTTCTGGTAAAGAGTTCCCAAGTTATACATTACTAGGTACCTTAATGCCACAGTAGAACTAATAATCTCTCATAAGTTTCTGATTCGCATCCTAGAGGCTAGTGAGTAAATGAAAACGTAGAGCTTTATGGATGGCAACTTCTGTATTACAAGTTCTGTTGCATTCAGCGGCGTAGTTGTGTAGATTTCAAGAGATGGCAGCAGCCAAGTGATGACATGTATATACTGTTTTGTAATCTCTAGAAATATTTACTGTTTTGTCGCATCTCTTTTGTAGCAATTTCTGGAATGGTTCTATATTGGACACTCTACAGTTCTACCAAACAGCCTTACATTCTAATCTATCATTAACCTAATCTATTATTAACACAAGTGAACTTTGATTTTTTTTCTGTATACAAAGTTTAGTACTTGTCCACCATGTTCACATAACTACCTACTCACAACCCAAGCTTGAATTCAAGATACAACAATGAACGTCGCGAACAGCGAGAACAATGTATGTGAAACAATAGGTGAGGCTGATGACATGGACAATGAAGACATATACACCACCCAGCCGTGTGATGAGATTGACAAGTCAATCTACTTGGAAATAAAAGCTAAACTTGGTTCTAAAGACAAGACAAGCTTTATTGACAGCATTCAAGACATATACAACCACAACATAAAAGAAATAAATGATGTAAAAGAGAGTTTGTATGACTACGCCAAGCAGACGTGTGTTAACTTCCCAGCTGGTCTACTTGTGAGAAGAAAAAATACTCAGGCAACAACAGCGCCGGCCATATACAAGTGTGCTCAAGATGTGTACTACCTATATCATTACATTGAAGGTACTATTCCTGCACATGTCCTGCAAACTAAGGTGCTCAGCAGAGCAAGTGTACGACATCTATCTATGTCGACACCAGGTACGCCATCAACAGCCAACGACGTCACCAACGTCAATACACCAATCAAGATCAACAGCACATCTTCATCATCGACTACTCCCACTGAACGAGCTTCAGGTGAGACAAACGACTCAACGTGTTCCATACTTAGCCACATTGTACAGTTGAAACAGATTGTTTCTCGTGGACAAAGCAAGTTGGAGGAAAGGGTACAGTGTATGGAAAGTAGATTTTCTGATCACATCATGAGATTAAATGAGACTATCCAGGAAAAGGATAAATCTATATCAGACCTACAATCTAAGCTCAGTGACTCTGAAAACAGAAGGTCAGAACTGAGATCGGAACTGAAACTGTATAGTCAAGAAAATAAATCATATCGGGATCACATTCTACATTTAGAAAGTGAACTATTAAAGACAAATTATTCTGTCGATGCCAAATTAAAGACAATTGATGCTAAATTTGCAAGCCTCTCTAGTCAAATAAGAACTGTAATGACAAAGTAAAAGGTAGATCTCTTAACAGTGAATCTACCTCGAACACGGACTCGACACCAACGACACCTGCAACAACAGAACAAAGTGAAACAGCGGTGGAGCAAACATCGCGTCTGGAGAAGGACAAAACTAATACGTCCAACCCTGAACCCCGTCATATTCCAGTCATATCCAGTCAGATCAACGACAACAGTGTGCATCCACCACAGGACAACAGGAACACCATAAGCTTCGTATACGACAACTACGACGCTGACCTCCCCTCAATGGATCCAGGACATACAGACAACACAGATTCCTGGAACCAAGTTGATCGTCACCCATCACGGAAACGGGACAACAACAACGTAGACAAGAGTGATAATAAGGTAAAGAACAATACTACACATCCTATCAGATCACTGTCTAAACGATATCATGCTCTTCAAGGTGTTCCCAGAGTCATAACTAAACGTCTTGTGCTGTATAACATTAGTGCTGAGGAGTCGTTCGATTCAGTAAAGGAACTCATTCATGAATATACTCATGATCAAAATGTGCGTGTGACCTTTGTCAGGCTAATGAAGAAAAATGTTCGTTCCAACTATCAAGATACGTACACTGTACAAGTAAATCTCGATCTTGACGATTATGAGGACTATGTTTCCGGTAATAGAGACTTTTGGCCACCTGGAATCCGGGTGAGAGACTATGTTCCAAGAAACAGGTCATATAATGACGAGAGTGAATCGTACAGCAACAAGTATTGATATCATGATGTGCAATAACGTTATCAGCTGTATTAGAATACCATTATTCCACAGTGTCATCATAATGACTCTCTCTCTGTTAACATGGAATGTACGTGGACTACTTCACGGTGGTGAATACATCAATCAGACAATATCACAGCCTGTTGATGTTGTTGCTATACAAGAACACTGGCTAACATCAGGTAACTTGCATCATTTCAATGCTTTCTGTGAACTGAAAACTGTGACTTATAACTATGTGAAAGCAGACTCGTCATGCTCACGTGGATCACACGGTCTGGCACTGTTAGTTAATTCAAACTCCTCGTGGAAAGCCGGAGAGAATTACAGTCAACTCTGATTATGTCATTGCAATCAAGCTTAGCCGTTTCAACTATTGTGATGTCTTTGTCATTGCTTGTCGTCTGCCATCAACGAATGTTTTGCATGCAACTTACTGTAGTGCTCTCAGTGAGCTATTAGATTTGTATGACTATCTATCTGAAAAGAGTTCGACCTTTATTTTAGGTGATCTAAACTCTGACATATGTAAGCATATTCTATCACACAGAGACCAAACTTTGAAGTGTGCTTTGTCAGATAGAGACCTCATAAATGCTCTCAAACTTATGCCTACGAATTCACATACATGTAAATATACTTGTAGGTCAAAAATAATTTATTCCAAAGTATGATTGACTACATTGTTATACCATCCGATCTAAGCACACGTGTTACCAGTATTATGGTAGATGACACTTGTCCGTTTAGTGTATCAGATCACCTGCCTTGCTCTATGGCCATAAGTATGCCAGTAAAGGAATGTTATAGCAATCTTCATTATGGTATTCCAAAATGGAAATTAGCTAATGAAAATGACATTAACGCCTACCAAAGACTATTCGAGGACGTTATGTATTCTCGGAATTTTTTCTCATGTAGATTTTAAACAACCAGACAATATAGATCACTTCAATGATATGATAAGCTCTGCTCTATTGTATGCTTCCTCAAATTCTATACCTCACAGTAACTACAAACCATACCTAAAACCTTTTTGGAAATCTAATTGCCTAAATGATGCTCACTACGATATGCGAGTAGCTAGGCGTGCATGGATAAACTCCGGTAAACCTCGCGAACATGACTCTGAACAACGTTTGACCTATAAAGATGAGAAAAGAAAATTCCGATGTCTGCTTCGGAAATCAAAAAGATCCCATAAAAAAGAAATGTTTAAAGAAATTGAATTATCTGCTGAATTGAAGTAAACACTTTCTACAAAACTGTCCGAAAGCAACGGTCAGTAGTTACAAATGTATCTACACTTGATTACGGAGGCGAGAGCGGCTCAACGCCATCTGAAGTATGTAAAATTTGGGGCAAATACTATACCGACCTAGGTCAACCACATGAGTCAGAAACATTTGATGATGATTTCAAAAATCACATATCTCAAATGGTTAAGAAAATGGACAATAGCAGCACTGAGGATTATGATGAGGAACTAGAAAGAGACTTTCTATTTGATGAGGTAAAGGATGGTGTTAAGTCTCTTAGCAAAAACAAATCCCCAGGTCCCGACAAAATTACAAACGAGCATATCATATATGCAGGTGATGTATTCATTAATTATGTATGTAAACTATTCAATCATATGATTGAATCTCAATATGTCCCATACGAATATAGGATTGGAATGGTAATATCAATATATAAAGGTAAAAATGATAAAACCGACCCTCGAAACTACAGAGGTATCACACTAACATCTTGCCTTGGTAAATTATTTGAAAAGCTCTTGCTCAAACGAATTGAAAATCAATTGCTTAAATCAAATCCGGACTTTCCTGACAAGTTACAATTTGGATTTCGAAAAGAGCATGGAGCCATAATGTCTGTGTTTACTCTCATGGAGAGTATACAATACTATAACCATAGAGATTCCCCTGTCTTTACAGCCTTTCTCGACAATGCAAAAGCATTCGACAGAATTTGGCATGATGGTTTATTCTATAAGCTTCATGAACTTGGTATTAGAGGTAATACATGGAAACTGTTACATCACTGTTACACCAATAGCCAATCATTTTGCATACATACCGGCGAGAGGTCAGATATGTACTTGGTCAAACAAGGTGTTGGACAAGGGAGGGTTATATCCTCTTGGTTTTTCTCATTTTATTAATGACCTAATTACATCTTTAAGAGAAGCTGGCTGTGGTATCCGTGTCTTTGGTATGGACGTTCCAGCTGTCTTGCTTGCTGACGATACTACACTCATAAGCACATCCTCTAATGGCCTACAGGTATCACTGGATATTGTCTCTTCATACGCTTCTAAATGGCGTCTAACATATAACCCATCAAAAAGTACCATCATCGTTTTTAGCAAAAGAAAAGGCTATGATGTAAACGTCCACTGTAGCATTGGTAACATCCCAATCCCTTATCAGAATCTACCGTATATGGGGGTGTACTCTTTACAAGTAACCTCTCAACAAAAACTAGAAGTGAAAAGTATTGTCAGAAAGCAAGACAGAATGTAAACTCACTTAGATCTATTGGACTGAATGATTCTGACCTACATCCAATCACTTGTGTTAAAATATGGCTCAGAATGATTCTTAAAACTAGTCTCTATGGCTGTGAAGTATTACCAAACATCAAAGTCCAACAGGCTGACACCTTTGAACAAACACAAAGATACTTTGCTCGTCTTGTGCAAGGTCTTGATAAGAGGTCATCATCAATATCTACCATTGCAAATTTGGGATTATGGTCACTAACTGGGTATATCGATAAATGTAAACTACTATTTCTTGGGCGACTATGTAACACTGAGTGTAACAACTTTGCAAAACATATCTTTTGTGCTGCTATTGCAACTTCAGTAAAATCTAACAACATCTGTGATGATCTTTTATCAATATCTGAAAAGTATAATCTAAATACATTTGTTGACAATTATATTGCTCAAGGCATATTTCCTCCAAAACGGGTATGGAGAAGAATTGTAAATGCTACTGTACATATATAGTTATGAAGAACAATTATGGCGATCACAAACTCTCTATCGTTCAAGCATGTCATTTTATGCAACAACTCATACTACACTCTCTTACCATACTTTCTGGCAACTGGCATATAAACACCCTAATTATAAATAATCCTTGCAATTTTGTGTCAAAATATTATCAAGAGGTAAAATCTCGAAAGAGTGTGCTCTTTGTAATAAACAAACATTTGACTCTGATTTCCACATACTTCTCCACTGTGAAAACCTAATACAACAACGAAATGATTTCTTTGCATACTTAATTGATAAACTTGATGTTGAAACTTACGTAATATTTGAAATGCAGGTGAACAAGATATGTTGTCATTTCTCTTCGGAGCAGAAAACGACTTTTATAACTCTATAGATTCAACACTATGGGAAACGATACTGTTACGCTTTTCTTTGTATGTATATGACCTGAAACCTCACCTTGTGAACTGTTATACAGAATGATTCTCTTCATGTCATAAATTTCTGTACATATATCTCTAAACATCCAATTATTAATATTCATGTACGTGTTGTAATATAATATGATGTTTTTGTTTGTAATCTTCGGTAACTACTGGAGGAAATAAAGACTCTCTCTCTCTCTCTTTATAGCTTTGAGTCGAGAGTGGCTCGCACTAAAAAGGACCCTGTCTTCCCGAGACAAAGCAAATTTAATAACAAAGCAGAAACATTATTTCATCGCTCTAGCAAATGGTTATTGAACTTTCGTATAATGTTTATAGAATTCACCTTTGAAAGATTCATCGCGACGGTTTTAATATCGCTCTTGTAATGTGTGGCCAAATGGACATCCGCTTGTTTCATCGACCCCTCGGACAAGCAAGGCGGATGGAAGGGAATGCACATTTGTGACCCATGGCTGGTGAACTCCAACATCACCAAGGTTGTGGCTGCTTCTGATGCTGGTGGTACTGGTTCCCAGAAGAGATCCGATGATTAACTTTGTCTAAGGTATAGATACTGAAGTATTGTTGAATATTCACAAGGTTGAGATTTTGAATATTGTCCTTGGAAGTGTTTTAGCAACATCGACTGGGATACCGTGACGCGGTTCTTCACGGGTCAAGTGAATGAGTGAATGTGTTT